GAATTACCTTAACATATCTCTCCTTAAATAGACTGGAAAAATAAAAATTGTTAAAATATTTACAGTAGAGAAAATTACCTACATGTTTATGGAGTCCATACCAAAATATCAGGATCATTCATCACGGGAATAGGAAAACAATGAAAAACTTGTAACTAAAAAATCCTTGAATGAATGACCAAAGCTATGTGGAAAAAACAACTAGTAAGGAAATGGAGCTGTGGCTCAAGTGGTAGAGTGCTCGCCTTGAGATGAAGAACAGGAGGACAGATTCCAGGTACAGCCCCAGGGCTGACCAAAAAAAAAACAAAAAACCCAAAAACATGTATTTGGGGAGGGAAGGGATGGTAGGAGAAAAACAAAGGAAGGGAAAAAATGCTTGATAGTAAATGTATTCATTATGTTACTCGTGTAACTGTAACCCCTCTGTACAATATCATTACAATTAAAAATATATTTTTAAAAAGGAAGAGAAAACAAAACAAAACAAAAACAACTAGTAATAAATGTTTGGCAATACTGGATCTTAAAGTTACCATTGACTTCTTTTTTTGTTGTTTTGTTTTTTTTTGTTGTTGTTGTTGTTGGTCGTGGGGCTTGAACTCTGGGCCTGGGCGCTGTCCCTCAGCTCTTCAGCTCTAGGCGAGCGCTCTACCACTTGAGCTACAGCGCCACTTCCGGTTTTCTGGTGGTTTATTGGAGATAGGAGTCTCAAGGTCTCTCCTGCCCGGGCTGGCTTTGAACCACGATCCTCAGAGCTCAGCCTCCTAAGTAGCTAGGATTACTGGCGTGAGCCACCAGCGCCCGGCTTTTACCATTGACTTCTAGTACAATTAAAAAATAGACTAATAGAACTTAGGGACATGTGCATCTCGCTCAGATATATACTCCTAACAATTGAAGATGCTGAACTATGAGAAGTGTGATTCAGATACAGCCTTGGCAGAAAACAACTGCATGATTGTTTTATCTAAAAATTATTAAAATTAAAACCTGTCACTTCATAGGCAGAAGAAACAGCAAAATACAATAGAAAGCCCAATAAAAATCCATGTAGTTGTTCTGAAAAATGGCCTCTATAATCTGTGGTTGCTCTGAAAATACAGACATCCACATGTAAAATACTGAAATCGCATTGCAGTCTTTCACCAAATATAGGATTTATTCAAAATTGTTTACGGATCTTAATAGGAGACATGAAATTTTGAAAACAGTAGAGAAACACAGAGGAGAAATCTTTCAAGAAGTAGGCACAAGCGAATGACTTCCTGGCTAGGATGCCAATAACTTGGGAACAATACCTACACCTGACATTTTGGAGAGAGGGATGTGGGGCATTTGGACCTATTCATTTTCAAAGCTGTGGATTAGCACACATAAAAATACACTTTTCTCAATAACAACAACAACATATATACATTTCTACAAAAGGGTTTTGTATGCTCATTGAAAATATTTGAAAGTTTCTGGAAGCATGCCAATTTTAGGAAAATAATTCAGAATGGTAAGGAAAAAACATTACTATTGTGGAAAATATTGGATGGGATAAAATGACAGCAGAATAGATACATACGTAACTATGACATAAAAATGAACAAAAAATATTGGTTTGTATCTGAAAGTTTTATCCATCAGACGGTTACTTTTGAAAATAGCATAGAAATAATGAATTATTCATTTTCCAAATTGCAGTGAAGAACATAATTTACTTTACAATATATAGTCTTATTTTATATTTATTTGGAGGAGAAAATGCAAACCAAATCATTTCTGAAAAGAAATGAAGTTAAGATCAGCAGATATATTTCAGATATTGTAGAGAGCTTGAGCAAAAATCAGGTGGTTGTTAATGAGAAGTCATATAATAAAGCATAAAGCCAGTTAAAGTAAATATTTTATAAACGTTTGCTAATAAAATATACTTAGAAAAGACTGGCTCAAATAATTTCCCTTAAAAAGCATTTCTACTTGCCAGTGATAAAATAGCATACAAGATATGGACATTGACATACATTTGTGACCTGAGGTATCTATGAAGTCACATCCCCACCACCATTAAAATGGGAAAAGTTTCAGAAGGTTTTCTAGAGAAAGAAATAGATTCTAAGTGTATGGGAAAGCACATTCCCAAGTCCTGAAGTTGTTTGTTGCAACTGTTGATTTAATTAGTGAACTGAAACGTTTGGAAAAGTTCTTAACATTATTTGTCTAATGGATGAATCCGCAAATAGGAGAAAATCTGAGGTACTATGACTGTATTGTGTCAGGTGGGAGTAGGATTTCCCAAGCCAGACTATTAGAAAAGACAGCACAAAGTCAATGCCAGCAGCCTACCCTGGCTTCTTCTAAACCCTCAGAATACAGGATTTCATAGGCTACCATCATATATGAGTGGAAGCTACCGCCTTGTCTAGAAAAGAAGGCTTGACATAGCTCACCTGATTCCACTGGAAGATCACTGCCAATTCTTCATCTCTCTGTTTGTCTATTAGAAGACCATTTCTGGCCTGTGATAAATTGAATAACTGATAATGTTTGATATCCTGCAGTCCTCATTCTGCACTGATATAGGGTGACATTAGATGACAGCATGTGCCTTGAATATGAACTCTATTAAATATTTCAGCCAATAGCTGAGAGGCATCATTTTCTTAAAGTAACTTTCCATCCATCAACTGGTATCCTGAACTTTTAATACCAGTTCCTTTTGGCCATGCTGTGCTAAAGATTTAGCTCCATGGATTTCATTCATTGCTAAGCCTCATCACATTCAACCAAATAATTAAGGGAAAGCCTTCATGGATAAAAGGTTAATTGATTATTGTTATCTACTACCAGACAAATGTTTTACTGCAGAATACCTGATTGTCAGACCAGACTCCAGTGACATCCACACACAGAATTTGTATAACTGAAAGTAGCTATGACACATGCATCAGCAGAAAATACAACATCAATGACATTATATAAATACATCTGTGAAATATTTAAATAAATATTTACTATTAATATATGGGGAAATGGATAAACACAGTTCCTATTGGTCCAACAATCTATAAGCAAAAGTTATGTGTTATACATGAGAATAGTTCAGAAGAGGCCATCGCTATTCCTGAAGATGAACAGATGCCACAAGGAAAGCTTGATTTACCAAACTTGGAAAATGATGCAAGCAATCAATATTCCAAGTAATATTTTACCTTCTAATAGGACTGAAATTAGAATGCTCATTTCTGCTAATTTCTGCCTTGTGATCTTGTAAATGTAATCTCCTGCAATAGAACTCGTGTGGATATATAAGTACTGAGAATGTGTGTATACATGTAAACCCGAACAAAGAGTAAGTGTAGAACCTCTGTAATGCCTCCCTTCTTCAGGTTTGACAGAATGTCCTCTGCTACATGAAGCACCACTGATGTGAAGTTCTGACCCACAATGTATTTGAAATAGTAACTGCGTCCTTCCAATAAGAATTCTTCCTCATACAGATGGGCATCAAAAAGCTGACTGACAGATATTAGAAATCATATATATGTAGGAAAGTATCTGCCTCTTGATTATGGGGAAATACATGTTCCTGTAACTTGTGAGCTTAAAACTCATGTCAATGGCTTTTTCAAGTAGCATTGCTTGATTCTTGCAATGACACAATGACAGACAATGTAGAGGTGTTACAGTGAGCAGAGTTTTCAGTCCTGGAAAGGAAAGCTAAGTGAAGAAAAGTAGTCATAACACTTTTCAAAAAGAAATATACTCATTACCTGACTTAGGAAATGATAACCCCTATGTACATCATCTTTACAATAACACTTTAAAAAAAAAGAAAATGGTATCCTCCCTTTTGAAAAAAGAAAAGTTTTCATCTGAGAGACACAAACAAATATTGGGCTATTTCCAGTCCAAAGTTACATAGTAACAAATGGTAGAGAATATAGAAAGCATTAATTGACAAAAGATCTGCTCAGACTGAAAATCAAACAGAGAATAAAAAATAAAGTGCAGAAGTTACTTACCTCACATTCTCAGCATTCCTGTCCCAACCAATGGATTTGCCAAAATTACGTGCTATTTTCATGTACTGGAGGGGGAAAAACCCAGCAATCAACACATCTCCACTCTTATATGCAGTCTCCTTCTTGGTGAGCAAGCATTCCTCTTCACTAAGGGAACTGACAAGAAATGGAAGTTGTAGTACAACTGATGTAAAAATCAAAGGAAACATCATAGAGTGGTATGTAAACCTTATTTGTGAACATATGTGGAGCTTGTGGTAGCCAGAAAGTAAGTAAATCTGTCATGAATACAAGAATATTTGAGTGTGATGTTATTGCCTAGGATTTCCACTCTGCCCCCGCCCACTTCTTTCACCATAACCTGCTGTCTTTCTGTAGACAAATGCTGTGTTCTTTCACCCCTGGGGCTCTGCATCTGAGGTCCTATCTCCAAGTCAAAAACATGAGATGCAAAATATTTGGATGGTTCCCTTCTCCACTCCCAGGTGCTATAATTTCATCAAGACCAAAGGGTGTAAGACTCCAGAGATGGATGCGAATTTGTTGGAATTGGCCCTAAGGTAGTAGTGAGAAACTTTGCAAATAAAGCCTCATGGGATCATGGAAAAGTTCTGAATCAAAGTTGTAATGTGAGGTGCAAGGGAAAGTGGACAGAAAGTGTTATTCAAATAAAGGTCCTATCAGTCATTGACCATCACCCTCCACAATCAAAGATGGGGAGAACCTCCCACACCTGTGGCTAAAGCCAGTGGGAGAACATTGCTGGTATGAGCCATACAGGTATCCGTACCCATTTGAACTGAGAATATGAGGCTGTGTAATATATGCCCCAAACAAAGAGAATAGTACAAAAGAAACTCTAAATAGTTTGCACACACACGAGCCATCAGAAGACTTTAGGCACAAGGAACAAAGAGACTTTTCAAAGCAGTGAAACAATTTTACTTAATCCTATTCTTTTGGGAACTTGCTGTTGCATGATTGCCCATGATTTTACCATATGCAAGTGAAAATGCGAAAGATAATGTAAGTAAGTGCTTTCCTACATGATGAGGTATTGGGGCTGGCTCTTGTGTTATGTCATATATCACAAACTCCAAGATTTTACCCATACAAGAAAGTGATTAGGTTTTGAGCGTGTGTTTTCCAATTGAATTGTGCAGTTTTTGCTCAAGTTTTCTCTAAAATTAACTGCAACCTAAGAAGAGAATTTACTTGTATTGAGAAAAATTTTCATTCTGTCTGGCATCCTCTGCTCTTGCAACATTATTGAGGATTTTAAAGGTATATGGGGAAATGAAAAAGGGAGGAGAGAGGTAAAGATTAGGTAAGAGAAGGAGCGAGACAAAGAGAGACAGAGACAGAGAGAGACTGTGTCATAAAGTAAACACAGAGATTCCATGTGAATTTCATGGTACAAAACACAGTGGCTTAGCACTGTCCTCTTCAGATTGAGAAATCCCACTTTGTGCCTTTATTCACCTTGTTCAACTGGCCTGCTCTGAAACTTTTCATAATAACATGCTGATGCACATGCTTGTGTATTGCTGAAGCCTCACCCCCCTCCACCTGATTAACTTTAAGCTTAGTTCAGTATTATTTCCTGTATATCTACCATGTCTTATTTATGGTGAGGTATAAATAGTATCCCTCCTTATTTTTTATTGTGAAAATACCGTACAGAGGGGTTACAATTACATGGGCAAGATAATGAGTACATTTCTTATGAAGCACTGTTGCCTCCTCCTTTGTTTCCCCTTCCCAACCCTTCCCATCCTCCCCTACCCAATCCTCCCCACCCCCCCCCCACCAAGGTTGTAAAGTTTGTTTTTGACATAACAACTTGTACATCTCATTGTTGCAGTGGGTCCAAATGTATCCCTATTTAAACAATTTGTTTTTTCCCTTCCCCTACACAAATTATACCAACCTCAAATACAGTAAAAGCAGGGGTTATATCATGGGGGAGGGACATACAAAGCAACAAAGAAATCACCTTATAAATAAGTTAGAAGCCGGGCGCTGGTGGCTCACGACTATAATCCTAGCTACTCAGGAGGCTGAGATCTGAGGATCGCGGTTCAAAGCCAGCCCGGGCAGGAAAGCTGGCAGGAAAGACCGTGAGATTGCTATCTCCAATAAACCACCAGAAAACCGGAAGTGGCACTGTAGCTCAAGTGGTAGAGCGCTCGCCTTGAGCTGAAGAGCTGAGGGGCAGCGCCCAGGCCCAGAGTTCAAGCCCCACGACCGACAAGATAAATAAATAAATAAATAAATATGTTAGAAACAATTGCATGAAAGCAAAAACTTTTGAATACTTATCTTGGGGTTTATTTCACCTAACATCAACTTATCTGACCTTCTCTGCTTGTCTCAGACATATACTAGTTATTGCAAATAAGGGAAACCATGGGACCTATGTTTCTTTGCGCCTGGCTTACTTCACTTAATATAATTTTTTCCAAGTCTTTCCATTTCCTAACAAATGGGCCAATGTCATTCTTTCTGATGGAGGCATAGAATTCCATATATATACCACATTTTCTTGATCCATTCATCTGGATTGGTTCAATATCTTAGCTATGGTAAATAATGTTGCAATAAACATAGTTGTGCTGGTAGCTTTAGTATGGTCTTGTTTGTGACCATTTGGGTAAATGCCCAAAAGTGGGATTGCTGGGTCATAGGGGAGCTCTATGTGGAGTCTTTTGAGGAACCTCCATACCACTTTCCAAAGTGGTTGAACAAGTTTACACTCCCACAAACAATGCAGTAAGGTTCCCTTCTGTCCACATCCCCTCCAGCATCTGTTGTTTTTAGAGTTCTTGATTATAACCATTCTAACTGGGGTGAGGTAGTATCTCAATGTTGTTTTGATTTGCTTTTCTTTTATGGCTTGTGAGGTTGAGCGTTTCTTCATGTGTCTAATGGCCATCCTTCTTTGCTCTTCAGAGAAGTTTCTCTTTAAGTCTTTTTTTTTTTTTTTGGTCCGGTCATGGGGTCTGAACTCTGGGCCTGGGTGCTGTCCGTCAGCTCTTCAGCTCAAGGCTAGCGTTCTACCCACTTGAGCCACAGCGCCACTTTCGGCTTTTTTCTTTTTGCTTATGTGGTGCTGAGGAATCAAACCCAGGGCCTCATGCATGCAAGGCAAGCGTTCTACCACTGAGCCACCTTCCCAGCCCACTCTCTTTAAGTCTTTAGCCCACTTATTTATTGGGTTGTTGTTTCTTTGAGGATTTGTTTTTGGGGGATTTACTTTTTTGAGTTCAGGTATATTTTAGATATGAGACCCTTGTTCGTTGTATGGCTAGTGAAGATCTTCTCCCAATCCGTGGGCTTTCTATTGATCTTGCTAGCTATGTCCTTTGCCATGCAGAAGCTCTGCAATTTCATGCAATCCCATTTGTCCAACCTTTCCTTGATTTGTTGTGTTTCTGGGTCTCTATTAAGAAAATTTCCGCCTGTGCCAAGGAGACCTAGGGTTTCTCCTATTCCATCCTGTAATGTTTTCAGGGTGTCTGCTTTGACTCCGAGGTCTTTGCTCCATTTGGAGTTGATTCTGGTGCAGGGTGATATATAAAGATCTAGCTTTAGTTTTCTACAAGTAGTTAACCAATTTTTTGCCAGCACCATTTACTGAAGAGGCTGCCTTTCTTCCATTCTATTTTTTTTAGCTCCCTTATTAAAGATTAGATGGCTATAGGTCTGTAGGTTCACTTCTGGGTTTTCAATTCTATTCCATTGGTCCTGAGGTCTGTTCTTTGCCAGTACCAAGCTGTTTTGATTACTATGGCTTTGTAGTAGAGTTTGAAATTTGGTATTGATATTCCTCCAGCACTGTTCTTTCTGTTAAGGATTGTTTTTGCTATTCAGGATCTTTTATTGCTCCATATGAATTTTTAGATTGACTCTTCTATTTCCTTGAAGAATGAGGTTGGAATATTGATAGGTATCGCATTGAATTTGTCGATAGCCTTGTATCCCTCCTTATTTATGTTATACATAGATTTCAGCATTCTGAGCACTTTGGGTTTAGATATAAGACACCCACACTAGGCAAATTAAGACATATAAAATTCATTTTCATCTATTTTGAATTTACACTCAACCAAGAGAATAGCATACACCTGGCATAAAGGCAATAGACTTCTTCTAGATTATTGTCAAATTAATTATTTGGATTCTCCCATTGTAATAGTGCTAAAACTAATCAAGGGTTCTATTATACAGATAGGGTTGTGAATCCCTTTCCATCAGTGTTCTCAATGCCTGCTGTATCATGGAGCATAGAATGCACATGAAATGCTGCCCTCATGGTCATGCCTGAACATATGACTACAAACAACAATTTGCTGTAAGTCCCAGATGAGGGGTCTATAATCTTTTTCTGTATGTCTTTGTAAATTGTATTTGAAATAGGTATATGTAAATAAAGTACACACGCACATGAATAACATATACATGTATATAAGGTACATCTACACACATACAAGTATAAGGTACCCCAACAAAGACTGTTTGAAAAAGTGACAACAGGGAGGAGGTAAAGAAGACTTTATGTAGATGTTTGAATTGGGTCAAAGTTCACCATATAATATCTGAGAGATCACAATGATTCCCTTTTATACTACACACACATGCTAGTTCATAGTTATTCTATTAAGAACATAATTTATATTTTGATCCTTTCATTTTGCTTATATTTACAAATGTAATATGTCATTATTGTTATGGTTTCCTCTAGAGTACACTCACTTTCCTATATATATATATATATATATATATATATATATATACACATCATATGTTCTAATTTTACATGTCCCCATGTCTCTCTCTTAAAGTGAGGGGAGGGGAAGTGTAGTTGTGGAGGTGGGAGGGAAGGGGTGGTCGGGGAAAAACAAAGAAGGAGATAAAAATGCTTGATAAGAAATGTACTCATTACCTTGCTCATATAACTGTAATCCCTCTGTACAGTATTTTTACAATAAAAAATGAATAAAAAAACTCAACACCATACTTATTTACCAACAGTCCTTCATTTGTGAAGAAAATCATACAGTTGTTATTCATATACTGAGAGCATCTGGGTTGGTTCCATACCTTAGCTATGGTGAAGAATGCTGCAACAAACATAGTTGTGCTGGTAGCTTTAGTGTGGCCTTGTTTGTGCTCATTTGGGTAAATGCTCTATGTTTAGTCTTTTCAGGAACCTCCACAGTGCTTTTCAGAGTGAAATATTTTGTGGATATTTCCTATGTTAAGTTTTCTAGAATTCAGTGCATTTGCTTATCAGAGAAGGATTTAAAAATCAAAAGTAATGAAATAACACAACGTGAGTAATAGGGGAAATAATGATTACTCAGGTTGTGTTTTAAGGCCTCCAGATTCTGAGTACTCTACTCATTAACACAAAGAAAGCCAACAAAGATAAGTATACAGCTTCTGTCAGAAGCAGCTCCTGTGTTCATCCTAACCTCTAAGGCTGTCCCCTCCCCTCTTACTGTCCACAGCCACAGAACTGATTTTCTCCTCCCCAGCTTCTTGGAAAATTGAGTTTATTGAAGTTCAGAATGCAAATGACAAAGTAGAGCACTCAGATCTTCAGGGCTTTAAAACAAATGTTTTAAGGTCCCCAGACTCTGAGTGCTCTACTTATTAACACAAGGACAGACATCCCAACAAAGATAAATATACAGCTTCCCCCAGAAGCAGCTCCTGTGTTCATCCTAGCTTCTACGGATGCTCCCTCCCCTCTCACTGTCTATAGACATAGAACTGATTTTCCCCCCTACTTCTTGGAAATGTGAGGAGTGAACTGGAGCTCAGGATTCAAATGACAAAGTAGAGCACTCAGAATTGGAGGCCTTAAAACAAATTTGGGGGCCTGTAAACAAATGTTTTAAGGTCTCCAATTCTGAGTGCTCTACTCATTAACAGAAAGACAGACATCCCAATGAAAATAAATATACAGCTACTGTCAGAAACAGCTCTTTTGTTCAATCTAGCATCTAGGGCTGTCCCCTCCTCTCTTCTCCACATTCACAGAACTGATTCCCCCTACCCCCCAACCTCCTGGAAAGCTGAGGAGTGTATTGGAGCTCAGAATGCAGATGACAATGTAGAGCCCTCTGAATTTGGGGGCTTTAAAATAAGTGTTTTAAGGTTCCCAGAATTGGAGTGCTCTACTCATTAACACAAGGACAGACATCCCACAAAGATAAACATACAGCTTCTGTCAGAAGCAGCTCCTGTGTTCATCCTAGCAGCTAGGGCTGTCCCCTCCCTCTTTTTGTCCAAAGCTACAAAACTGAATCCCCCCCCCCCCCCCCCCCCGCTGAAACCTTGGAAAGTGGAGGTGTGTATTGGAACTCAGGGTGCAAATGACAAAGTAGAGCACTCAGAATTTGAGGACCTTCAAAGAAACATAGGTCCCATTGTTTCCCTTATTTGCAATAACTAGTATATGTGTAGAACAAGCAGAAAAGGCCAAAAGCTATGTACATATGACCATATAAGATGATTTTAAGCGAAATTAACCCCAAGATAGGGACACAAATATCCTTTTTATTTCTTGCTATTGTTTCTAACATAGTTATAATGCACCACGTGACTTTTTTTGTTTCATTGTATGTTCCTCCCCATGGTATAACCCCTGTTTTCACTGTATTTGATGTGGGTGTCCTGCATCTTGCATATACAAGATTCTAATTCGGGAAGGGGAAGGGAAAAAACAAAATGCTTCAATAAGGATACAAGTTGACCTATTACAACTTTGGTGAGGAAGGCAGTAGTTGTGGAGGTGGGAGGGAAGGGATGGTAAGGGGAAAACAAAGAAAGAGGTAACAATGCTCAATAGGAAATGTACTCATTACCTTGTCATGTAACTGTAACCCCTCTGTACAGTATTTTTATAATAAAAATGTACAAAATTTTAAAAAATTAAAACATTAAAAAAAAGAATTTGAGTGTCTTTTCGAGTGCCATACTCATTAACATAAGGACAGATATCCCCCAAAGATAAATATACAGCTTCCCCCAGAAGCAGCTCCTGTGTTCATCCTAGCTTCTAGTGCTGCCCCCTCCCCTCTTGCTGTTAATGGCCACAGAACTGAATTTTTCTCCCTGACTTCTTGGAAAACTGAGGAGTATATTGGAACTCAAGATGCAAAAGACAAAGTAGAGAACTCAGAATTTTGGGGCCCTAGACTAGGGCCTGAAAACTTGTTTTCTGAGTGCTGAGTGCTCTCCTCATTAACACAAGGATGCACATCCCCAAAAGTATAAGCATACTGCTTCTCTCAGAAGTAGCTTCTGTGTTCATCGTAACATCTAGGGCTGTCCCTTCTCCTTTTGCTGTCCACAGCCACATAACTGATTCACATATGCACACACCGAGGGGTCTTCTTGGAAAGCTGCAGAGTGACAAAGTAGAGCACTTAAAACATTTGTTTTAAGGCCCCCAAATTCTGAGTGCTCTACTTTGTCATTTGCATCCTGAGCATAAGCCTGTAATCCTGTGGATTACATGAGTGGCCCAGCTACTCATGTAATTGTTAAAGAAAAAAACACCCAAAATTATATATGTGCCAGGAACTGGACCCCAGAAAGAGTCTGGGCAGAATAAACTTTCTGATTTACAAGTCTTGAGCCAACAGGGTCTCCTTGGATAAGTAAAAGAGCAGATAGTGCAAAAAACAAAAACAAAAACTGGATTTCCTATTTTTTGTATGTACATTTGTGTTTTTCACCCTTTCAGTCACCTCACATTTTTTCTCAGGCAGAACAAATATAATCTTCATTACAATAACGCCCTAGACCAGAAGAATCAGAATAAAAGTTTTTTCTACTTACTCTCTTGTGTTTCATAATTTCTGATTTTGGAGCTGACAGTGATGCTTGCTCTAGGAAGATGGCACAAAGTGTTGTTATTTGTGAACTGAACAGGGAATCCGGTCAACAGAAAAGTTCTCCAAGAAGGAATTGATCATCGTATACACCTCATATGGGACATGAGTGTCCACTTATTTGGATCCAATCAATCACAGCCTTTTCAGTTCTGACCAGGCAAGCTTGGGTCCTGAATTCTGAGTTCTCTCGTCTCTTAAACTAAGAAAAAGACGGTCTCTATCACATTTTTACAGGCAAACACTACCCTGTGCTGCCTCCCGGCCTGGGTTGGTTTTATTCTTATTTATTTTCTTATCCTTAAGTAGCTGTACCAAGGGGTTTCCATTCAACATGCCAAGTACAAAGCATCTCGAGCCCTGTTTCTAATCAAGACCAAGAAGATAGAGAAGGATGGACTTTCTCCTACTAGCCTTCGGGGTAGTTAATGTGCTAGATTGAGCCGCGATAACCCTGGCACAGGGAAGCAAATAGCTGTGCCGGAAGCGGTTGCGTTTCACTGCTCCAGGCGGAGCTCTCGGCGCTAAGGACGAATCCTGAGGCGTGGGAACGGGGGTGTGGGCGGGACCACCGGCCCCGCCCCTCGTGTTACCTAGGAGACCGCAAGCGTCCTGCCGCGGTTGCCGCCGGAGCCCTAGAGGCGGGACTTGAGTCGGCTCTCTGCAGGTAGGGGTGTAGCCAGCCCCACGCCGGTCCCCTGCTCGAGGGCAGGTGATTTAAAATCAAACCTCCGAGCCACCCCCAGGGTTCCCAGGGCCTACCAGGGGGTCATCCTCTAACCAGAGCCTCCTCTCCACCCTCCCTTCCCCCCCCTCCCCTCCACACACAGACATTGGTTTCCTGGACTAAGGCAGGGACGAACGCCAGCGGCCAGGATGTCAACCGTGGGGAAGGTGACCAAGGTTCACAGCGGCAAAGTCTACCAGCAGATCTTCGAGGCCGAGGTAGGGTTGTCCGCCGCCCCCTTGTCTCGACCCCCTTCCCTCTGCTTAACCACAAACTTCCCTCTGTACCCTCCAAGTGTCCCTCTCTCTATGAGCCCCACTTCCTCCGGAGAATCTAAATACAATAAGGGCTTTTGACCTTGCTTTGATCGTGAAAATAATTTCTGCTGGTTCTGCCAGTTTGAGTGCCTGTTCTTGAAAATTAGGAAAGCGGAAGTGCGCTTTTAAATGTAAAGAACTCAGAAATTACCTGAGTGAACTATGCAGTACCCAGGACCCATTTCTCATACATAAAAGCAGTTGTGAGTTTTCTATTTATTTTTAGTATTTTATTGTAAAAATGTTGTACAACGGGGCTACAGTTACCTGAGCAAGGTAATGAGTACATTTCCTATTGAGCATTGTTGCCTCCTCCTTTGTTTTCCCCTTACCATCCCTTCTCTCCCACCTTCACAACTACACACTCCCCCAAGTTTTAAAGTTCGTTTTCAACATGTTTTGTACATCTCATTTTTACAATGGGTCAACCTGTATCCTTATTTAAGCGTTTTGTTTTTTCTCTTCCCCTCCCCAAATTAGTGAGTTTTCTATTTAAAATCTGAGTTTGATTTTACTTTAGTGGTTTTGTTGTTGTTGCTGCTGCTGCTTGTCCTGGAACTTGAATTCAGGGCTTGGATATTATCCCTGCACTCTTTTGTTCAAGGCTAGCATTCTACCACTTGAGCTACAGCTCCACTTCTAGTTTTTGGGGTGGCTAATTGGAGATAAGAGCCTCATGGACTTTCAAACCTTCTTCCTCAGATCTCAGACTCCTGACCTGCTAGGATTACAGGCATAAGCAGTTTTGCTCTAGTGTTTTAAAACTTTTTTTTCTCTCCTTAGCCCCAATCCCCAGCCACACACCTCAAAGTATCACCTCTCCCCCTCCCATGTATAGGCCTCTTGATAGCAAGTCAGCTCTGAAAAGTGCCCTGTCCCATATGTACTATATGGATCAAATGAGACCTTAAAAACAAACTATAGACATTTAACCCTTCTTTTGAAGCTCCCTACTATTTATTGAAATGGAATTTTCATTCCTAATGTGAGCCCTAATAACCTTTGGAAATTATAAAATTACAAAGAAACCAGGACAACTGAATTTCTCATACACTCCTGCTCCCTGTAAGCAATAATGACTTTCTTAGCATTTGTCATACTTTCTGCTTTACCTAAAGGGGCACTGTAGGTCTGGGTCCTGAATTCGTGGCTTGTTATAAGGGTACTCTACCACTTGAGCCACCCTCCAGCCCATTGTTTCTATGCATTTTAAAATTGGAAATCACAAATATGGCTATAATTTTGTGTTTGGGGCTATAATTATGAATGTATCCTTCTAATTAACATGTCTATTCATCATCTCATAAGCATTTCCTCATGTTGCAAAAGGTTCTTTTCAATTCCCATCTTTAATAAACATTCCTTCAAAGCAGTGTGCCATCTTTGCTTAACCAATTCCCTATAATTGGACAATTCCATTTTCCCAGTTCCTTATGACTATAAAGAAAGGTGAGATAAGCATCACAATCTTCAGTTAAATTTCTTCAGCCATGCCTTCCTTGAAGTGGCTGGATGCCTGTTAGGAAGGAGGAAAGCTCTTTTGTGGGGGTTGGGAGGTTGGTTTCCCTGCAAAGTACCTTCCTGATGGCAGGTTCCTACTTATCCTTCTAAAACAGGCACAGTTAGCCTGAGGATACTGGGACATCTGCAGGTCTGATCAGAGCCCCTGTCCCTTCTCTTCCATGGATTCAGGTGCAGCTGGTCCAGTCCTTGGCAGCCAGCAGAAATCGGCCTACAGAACACCCTGTAATCTCAAAGAGTGATGGGTTACCCTTGATGAAGAAGGTGGAGTTTGTTGAAGGGGAGACGATTTCCCTTCGGCAGTGGAAGTGGCTGAACAGTCTCCCTAATGATGGGATCACAGAAAACCCTGTTATCCACAGGTAGGTCCTGCTACCAGCCAGGCCCCTTACCTTTGGGTTACCTCAGTCTTCAAGGACTCAAAAAAATGCTCAGTGGAGATTAAGTGCCAGGCAGGAATGAATCTCAAGTGCCTCCTCAGAAATAGGAAGATAGTAACCCTTACTTGGATGGATTGTTCATTTCTCTGTTCCTTCCTTCACTAATTACTAAGTACATAGGGCCAGGGTATAGTACACAGGGGAATCCTGTCCCATGTAATCTGTCTCATGTCCTCCACCCACACTAGCCCCCAATCCCATAGTCCCCTACTTACCATGAGCATGGGCCTCAAACAGAAAACCTTTCTACCCTCCTGGGCTGCCCAGGTAGCTTCCACGTGCTGGGGAACAGGAAGGTTTTGCCTTGGCCTCCTTGCACCATTCCCTCCAGCCTTCTTCCTCACTCTCAAGTATCAAGTATGGATCTTTCACCTACCTTAGGCCTCTCCTTTCTTTGTAAAGAAGTGAGACTCAGTCATTGCTCCCCTCCCCACATCACCCTATATCTGCCTTCCAGCTTTCCATGGGGCCAAGAGCCTTGGAAAAGCTTTTGTTTTCTCCTACCCTCCTGAGCCTTTGACCTTCCCATTTCTGACCACCCCAGCCACTCTTGCTAAGGTCACCTGGACACTTATGTCAACTCTCCCAACCCCTGGGCTTCCCCACACACCTCTCTGACTGCTACTGCTCTCTGCCTCGGTTGTAAGTCAGCTCTCTCAGGCTGTGTAGACCAACTCCTCTAGCTCTTCTAACTATCTGTAGGTCTAGCAGAGGCCAGACTGGGGATGAGCAGATAGCTGTATGTCCTGTCTTCTTCTAGCCTCCAGGGAGGCACTTGAAAATTGGGCCTGCAAAGACCACAGAAAGGCTGCCTCATTTGTTTGTTTTTCAACTGTATAAATTTAAATGTATTTGCATATTATAAAAATTAAGATAAACATATACACTAGTACACTAGTACTAGTTACACTAGTAACGGAACAGCAATAAACGTCAGTTGATCGATCCATCTTTTCACATTGAACAGAACTGAAACCTGAGTGCTCAAAATGTCACTGTCACTATGGCTTAAATGTGCACAGAAAACAAAATCCCTGAGAAGCCATTAGACATTTTTTTTCTTTTTATCAAGTAGCATTCTACTTGGAGGATCACAGTTCTGAGGTTCAGGTTGTGAAACATACGCCCCATGTTCTTGCCCTTCCTTCCCCTTCCCTCCGCACCTCTCCAATGACCCTCTGAAAGCCCCCGGAACACAGCTTCACTCCTGATCGCAGAATGTGCCTGGGAGAGGGGAGGGCTCTCAGGTACAGAAGATGATCCACGTGAGTTCCACTCTCTACTTTCCCCATGGAAATTCCACAGCCACGAAAGTCACTGGTTTCTGCGCTTTTCACTAACATTTTTCCCTTAAAACCGGTGCTCCTAAAGCCACAGAGTGGGTACAGTAAAAATGTTGACATTAGGGAAAGATGCACTATCCTTTCCACTTAAATTTTCAAGAAAGTATGAAGATACTTGGAACAGGGGTTGATCACAGTCGGCGTAGGTGAGTAAACCAGTGCCACATTCACTCTCTCGCTGCCATTCTTGGGGCAGATGATCTCTGCCATTCCTTCCAAGGCCACCTCATTTGTGTGTGGGCTGATGCACCCTGGCAGGGTCACTATGCAGGCAGAGAACAGTCCATTGTAGGAGGTAGATTACCACTAGTGTAAGCCAAGTCCCCAGGTCTGAGGCAAGTGGGTAAGAAGACAGAGGTGACAACAGTCCCATGTTCTCCTATGGGGCTGCTTTAGGCCAGGGGCACTTGGAGTAACAAGTCCTAGAACACTTCTGCAGGGTTACCTGGACCCCAGCAGCTATAGCCAGGCCCTGCAGAGTCCTCCCTGTTAGACCTCAGTGGGGACTTTTGAGAAGATGGCTGGAAACCACTAGTCGCATAGAGCCTTGAGGAACAGAAGTGGTCACAGGGAACTTCAGGGGAAAGGTTTAGTGGACATTGATGTTATTCCAAAGCTTATTTTATGCTCACCCCCCCCACACACACACACATGAACACCTTCTCCAATCTCCCAATTCTTCTTCCATCTTCCCTTCTGAGACAGTTTGCCCTGGGATCCCTGCTCCCTCTACCCAGACCCAAGCTGTACAACTCTTGGTGTCTAAGCTCTGCCAGGGGCACGTGGACAGTGGCCTCTCTTGGAAATTAGGGTTACTCTGGCTGCAAATGCAAACATATGCCGAGCTTGTGGGGCTGGTCAATCCCCCTTTGATCCTTAGTTGCCTGTGTGAACAATGTCTAAGGCCCATTACCCTCTTTTACCTGGGAAGGGATTAATGGCTGGTACCTCAGAACAAGGACCCAACTGGGTCCTATCCAGGGACAAGCAGTGTCCGCTGACTGGAGATGCTCCGGGCAGCATTTATTGGGAACCTGGATACTTCCTCTAGACTTTCTGGAATCAAGGCAGGCCTGGATTATACCCACTGCATAGGCTGTCCTGGATGAGGCTGGAGATTCAGGGCTTACTCTTCTCTGCTTGTTTCTTAGGGAAAAGGAAATAGCCAGGAAGGAAAAAGCACAAGAGAGTGAGAACACTATTGCTGCTCGAGAAGTGCGGGGCCTCATGTCCAACATTGGTGAGCCTCCCTCCATTCAGCTCCAAGGGCAGGCCTGCCCTGGACAGCAGAACCCCTGAGCAGTAGAGTCTCCTCTGAAACAGCCCTGACAGTCAGATGGGGTCCTGTGCTCATTCTCCATGCTCTCCCTGAACATTTACTCTGGAAAGAGAGTCAGGAGAGCCAGAGGCTGTCTACAGAGTGGTCACTTCCTGGGATTAACATTTACTTGTTCTACATGATTTTAGGTGACATTTCTCATATTATGTTTTCTTCCTACTTCCTTTTTGAGTGTGACTTTATCCCAATATGGCGGCCCTTTTCCACTGTAGCAGAACAAAGGGAGATGATGCAGAAAGTTCAAGTACTCTTCTATAATAGCACCCACCTTCTCCCCAGAGAGCTTCCAAACCTGCTGTCCCATGAGGTATCCAGCTTCCCAGGTGGATGCGGGGCTGAGCAGAGCCTAAGGGGCTAAGGGTGAAGGGTCTACATACCCTGCTCAACCACTGGCTTAAACCCTTGTTCCTGAGCCTCCTCCTTAGAACATTTGCCTTTTGGCATCAGCCTGAAAAGAAGTAGGGTGTGAACAGTGTGTGCTAGGTGCTTTCTAGTGTGGAGCTCTTATCTCCGCAACAGTCCCTTCCTGATTGCTGATGGTTCTGATTACAGTATTTCAACTTCTCTATAGTACAAAAGCAGGGGCATCCAATCATCCTGTTTCTCGTTTTAAGTCGAGCTTTCCTCAGCTTGCATGGGATATTTAGCATTTTATCATAAAATAGCCTTTATGTTAGATGATTTTGCCCACAGTAGACTAAGGTAAGCATTCTGAGCATATTTATTATGTTAGCCTAAATTGTGGTGTTTGGTAGATCAAGTGTATTCAATGTATTTTTGCCTTATAATATCTCCAATTTACAATGGTTTTCTCAGGACATAATAACACTATTATAGTTGGAAAAGCACATGTATATGTATTTGAGCCTTTAAACTATTTAAAAAAAATACTAATGTAACTGGGCACTGGTAGCCCCTGGCTATAATCCTAGCTATTCCGGAGACAGATCTGAGGATCAAGGTTCAATGCCAGCCTAGACAAGAAAATCTGTGAGACTCTTAACTCCAGTTAATCTGCAAAAAGCTAAAGGTGGTAAGTGGCTCAGGTGGTAGAGTGCTAGCGTTGAGTGAAAAAGCTAAAGGACAGTACCGTGGCCCTGAGTTTAAGCCCCAGTACCGGCACAAAAATTATTATATATAATATATTAAATATAATACTTTATAATATATTATACGTTACATATTATACTTAGGAGCTTTTCCCCATTTTAATTGATTGTTCTGCTATATAGAGGATTAAATCCAGGGCAAATGCTCTACAACTGAGCAGCATGCCTAGTACCTCAACAAGCACTGCATGCCTGCGGCCTTGCTCTCTACAGCACTCACAGATCATTTTCATCTTTCTTTCCTTTCCTTAAGCTCCTACTCCTGTTGGCCCGGATTTGGGTCTAGTTTCTGTACCCAAGCTCAGTACGTAGTTGCTCCGTGTGTGCAAAATCCTTCCAGGGATTCTTTCTCCCTAAGCCTCATCACCTTTGTTGTTCTTCCACAGTTCCTGCAAGGGCAAACATTGCTGTCCTTCAAGAACAAGAAGAGGCCAAGAGGAGGAAGCATGAGAATGCTCTGGCCGGATTTGAGGAAGAAGTTGCCAATATAGGCATGGTGAGACTCCTCTTGGTTCTTCTTGCTTGGCTCCAGAGAAGAGGCAGTTTTCTCATTGCCCCTAGCTTCCTTCCTCCTCTCAGTGGCTCACCAAGACATAGATGTAGGTGGAATCATAATAGCCATGTTTGACTGGTTTGTTGGAAGCACGTCTCCCCTAATTCTTGTAAAAGCCCAAAAGTCAATAGTTGTTACTCCATTTTGCAGGGAGGCCTTAGAGTCTTGTCTAACTTGGAAGCCAAGTTGGAAGTATTCTGTAGGTGACACCAAAGCTCTGCCCTTGACTTCCTGCTAGCCCTGCTGATGAAGAGTCCATGGATGTGCCTCAGTTTATGGCCCATCACTACTGGGACCTGACGCTCTTCCTAATATTGTTCCTGTTCCACAACTCATCTGTATTCTCACTGCACATACCTAGAATGGAACTAGTCTTTGCCCTTCCAGCTCTCTCTGAGGTCCAGATTTCGACTTCTTTTTGTCTCCCTTGACTCCTGTTCTCTACTATGAACCTTACACCAAGAACATCCTCCCCAGTCGTGCCCTTAGAACATCTCATCTAGATGCCAGCCTTACATCCACCCACATGCTCCTTGGCTTCAGTGCTACTTGAGCCTCCTTTTCCTTATAGGAAGCAAACCTTGCATTCTTTTCATTTGGCCACTTCTTTGACTCCTAGTTGTTGAATGCCAACCCCTGGCCAAGCCTGATGTCAGGGCCTCTTTCCCTGGCTACTCTTCACCAGCTGGCAGAGCTCTCTGGATAGGAGTTCATCAGCAGTCCTGATGATCATTTTTGAGACAGGACTGGGCCTGGTACCTTCCCATTACAAGAAGCCCTTTCCTACCTGAGGTGTTGATGCCACAGCCCTCATCCTCCAGGCCTATTATTGCAGGAAATGGAACCTCTCATCTTGGAGACAGGGCGACTTTTATCAAAAAAAATCTCTGAGTCTGAGGAAGAAATTGACCAACTCTTCAACAAGATCGAAGGTGACGTCAATCTTGAGGACTATTCTATCGATGTAAGGTTTCCCTCATGTTGAGGCTTGCACATGATCCCCTACCCTGGTCCCAGTTTCCAGGTTGACCTGGTTCCTCTGCACAGACCCTGCTGGAGCTGTGGGATAAGGTGATTGAGACGTTTCTGCTCCAGAAGAAGGAGATTAAGGAGATGGATGAAACACTGCTCTCGCTGGAGGCCTCAAGAGCCAGTAAGGTAAATAGGCCCTACATGGAGCTCCTTGGTGGCTTTTGCCTGTGGGTTTGTTGGATATCCTTGTTCCCTTTGATTGCTCCAGGAAATGAAATCCTCTAACTGTGACACTTTGTCTTCTCCAGTTAAAGAACGTGTTGACAAAATATGTGGATATCATGCGGAAAACATCCTACCTGATGCAGCCTGATGTGTACAGGTTGATGGATAAAGAAGCCATGGTGAGTGGCTTTCCTGGGCAGGGACAACCTGCAGGAAAAGGAACAATACCCAAGGGTGCTGGAAACCTGGTGTCTCAGAGATTGTGGAGAAGGGTAGTGGTTTATCTTTGCCATGTTTAAGTAATGCAGTTGGGGCTCTTAAGTTGGCAGTCAAGTCTTTGTGATTGTGTTTCGAATTGAAGTTGTTGTAAAGTCTACATAGCACACTTCCCTGCAGTCACATCTGATGTGGATCCATTGTGATTTTACTGAGCACTTACTCTATCCCACTCCCAGACTGCAGTATAGTAGACACTTAAGTAAGGAGGGGACAGTATGATCTTGCATTTTTGCCTATGGCCGGCCTTGTACCTCCATCCTCCTATATATGGCTCCCCACATTGCTGGGATTGTAGATATTTTTCATGACTGTTTTCTTGCTAGTGTTTTCCCCAGACTGGCCTCACATCCCAATCCTCTTGATCTCTTGGTCTCCTGAGTAGTTGGGATTTTTCTCCACCTTCTATATCAAATGACCTGATGCACTTTTGGAGTTGGGGTGGAGTTTATAGTTGGGAGTGGGGCTCAGTATTCTTCAAATTCCATCACCACTCCACTCAGCCCTGGCCTTTCATTGCCTATCTATCTGAGCCTGGCTCTGACCAGAGAGAGCATGCCCCATCTACAACTGTACTCTTCTGTGACCACAGATCATGAATCATGCCTTGCTGGGCAACCAGAGGGCCATCGCCCAGCTGTCTGCCAACTTGATGGAAGCTACACTGCAACAGGAGCTCAACAGCTGCTACCGCTGGCGGGGCCTGGTAGATGCCTGGAAGACTCTCAAGAAAGACTCTGTGCTACATAGCTTCAGGTCAGCGGTACTGCCTCACCCCCCAATTCCCCACCCATAGCTCACCCACAGCTCACTGGGGCTAGCGGGGCCAAGGGTAGCTTCCTCCTACCCTTTGCATCATTACTTAACATTGTAGCTGTTTTTCTGTGCTTCTTTTCTTTTTTAACTTAATAAAGGTTTCTGGGGGTGGGGGGGAAGCTTAAAGATCACTATGACTTCCTCCTCACAGCAAGAAGCACAGCTAATACTTGATTATGTTCTCTCCCAGGCCTTTTCAGCCCATATATCACAATTGCATTTCACTTCTTATTTTCTCAATGAGCATTATTTCACGAGTGTTCTCTGAACTCAGTACAAATTGTCAGAAAACATATCTGTATGCTTTCCACAGCCAAGTATTGTTTTAGATGCGGGGAAAGAAAAAAAAAGTGGTGTAACTGTATCTGGCCTTTCCACCTGACCTCAATCAAGTGTTTGGACATTCACAACCTGTTTCTTCCTATAAAAACAGGCATCCTCATGGACTTGTGTAAGAGTTTTAGTGATGACCCTAAAATGTACTGTATAGAAGATGACCAGCTGCAGCTGACCTGGGAGGCTGCTGTGAATGTTGCTTTTCCTGGGCGTTTATTTTCCACGAGCTGGGCACGAGGTCAAGAGCTTAGCTTGTATCACCTCGTGGATGGAAGACTCCTCTCACAAGACTCCATTTTACAGAAGAGGCTCAGAGTGGGGAAAGACTTGCCCAAGGCCAGGGTCACAGAGCAGGCAGCTCTCACTTGGGATCCCAGTGGAACTGAGCTTACTCCTGGGCTGTTCGTGGTGGTTCCTCTCTCCTTCCCTCCACTTCCTTCCTGCGCTCAGTGCCCTAGAGGGGGGACTCAGGTTGCATAGGAGCTTGTGTAATGTAATGCCACTCTGTGTAATGCCACTCTGATTTGTTCTTCATATGAGTCCCTTCCCCTCTTGACCAGCCCTCCTCTCCTTTCCTTTCTATGGTGCCAATGTGTCTGGCCATGCAGTGAGTTCATGGCCAGTGAGTGTGTCCAGAATCCCCCAGCAGTGCAAGAAGAACTACAGGCAATGCTGACGACCCAGCGTGAACTGAAGCAAAAGCGGTTGGAGCATCTCTACACCATATGGTATGGGCACAAAGGGATGCCAACTTGGATTAGTGCCTTTAGAGTTCCAGTGGGGAGGAGATATGGGATCTAGTCTTTCCTCTGAAGTATCATCCAGATGAGCCATCTCCCTACTGGGGCTCTGGTGAGGAGCCAGCTTCCTAGAACTGGCCCTGATGGCTAGAAATAGCATCTATTGGGTATAGAAGGAAGCTCAGGGTAGCATTCTAAAGAGCTCAACAGGAGGCATTGGCCAGAGGGCCAAGATCCTCTCCTCCGAGATCACAAGGGCCTGGCACTGAACACCAGGAGATCATTGTCAGGGCAGCTGCCATCAAATGGGGACCTGTTAGCTTCTTTAGAAAATCACATTTGTTTTCTAAGCAGCAAACTTGTTAAATATTAAGATCAAAAGGTCTTAATGTGCTGGCCACTTGGTGGCTCACACCTGTCATCCTAGCTACTTAGGAGGCTGAGATCTGAGGATCAAGGTTCAAAGCCAGGCCTGGCAGAAAAGTCCATGAAACTGTTATCTGAAATTAACCACCAAAAAGCCAGAAGTTGAGTTGTGGCTCATGAGTGAGAAAGCTCAGGGACTCATGAGTGAGTGAGAAAGCTTAGGGACAGATGATGCCCAGGCCTGAGTTCAAGCCCCTACTATCTCCCTCCTGCATCTCCTTACCCCAAGAGCTTTTTGAAAGATATGTTTCAGCTACCAGGAGATTCCCCAAAAGCCTTTCCACTATTTAACTCAGAATATATTTCTTCCAGATACTGCCCAGTGAATGTTTTGTGCATGTGTGGTAACTTGTCATTTTTTTTCCCTAGTGACCTCCTGCCCCCCAACTTTAACAAAGACCAGCTCACCGAGTGGCATTCGTCTCTCAACTCCATGAACAAGAAGCTAGGTAAGCCCAAATTGTGGTCTTCAATCAGATCTCTCTAGAATTTCAAGTAATAGCATGTCAGAGCTTAGGGCCTCGGCCATTTATCAGAGCAGAAGTGGGTGAAGGGGAGAGTGAACTCTGGGAAGACATGAAGCAACTTTCTCTCCTCTTAGAGCCCCCTACTCACTGCCCAGCCCACAGCCAGGCCAACCACACAGAGATCCTTGACCCCAGCATGGAGACTGAGAGGTATCTCCTTTGAATACCTCCAAGGATGATGAGGATGGTGGCACTGGAGCTATATCTGAGAGGCCAAGGCCTTCTAGTCAGAAACATGGGTTTAACACCTAGCCTTGCTCCATCCCCACTCTGTCCTTTGGGAAGTCAGGGTATCTCTCTTGTCCTCTGTAGGATCAGGATGCAGGAATCACAATGACCCCTATCTCTGGGATTGGTGTCCAGTTGAAGGTCAAGGCCTAACACTGAGAATGATTAGTCACAAATTTTAAATGCTCTATAACAAGGATTATCGCACTATTGGGCCATGGCCAGCTGCCTTGTTTGTAAGTTTTCCTAGGACACCACTATACACAGCAGTGTATAGTTTCTTTTGAGGCTCACAGCAATGCAGTCAGGTCCTGCTATAGTGTGAGATGACTTAGAAGTACTCCCAAATCAGAACCATTCAGAACAGAGACAAGTTCCTCCCATAAAGTGTGTGTGTGTGTGTGTGTGTGTGTGTGTGTGTGTGTGTGTCCCAATATTGAGGTTTGAACTCAGAGCCTCTGCTCTGCTTGGCTTTTTCACTCAAGGCTGGTTGCCCTATTATTTGAGCCACTGCTCTACTTCCAGCTTTTGTGGTTAATTGGAGATGTGAGTCTCATGGACTTTTCTGCCCAGTCTGGCTTTGAACCCTGATCCTCGGATCTCAGCTTCCTGAGTAGGTAGGATTACAGGTATAAACCACTATGAGGTCTTTATCTTGGGGTGCCTAGACCTCAGTGAGGAAGGAGAGGCCAGCCCCTGCCAATCCACCTGTCCGACCTTCACCAGGAGGGCGCTGTGCTTAGGGGGACTCAGCTCTCTCTCACTCTCCCCCTCCTCCTGGAAGGATAGCTAATCTGTTTTATTTTCTACCCTTGCAGACACCTATCACATAGAGTCCATGATGAGGCTCCGCTTTCTGTATGAGACGACGTGGCAGGAGTGCCTGGCACATGTGCAGGAATGCAAGGTGAGCACTCCTCCCTACAGTCCAGGGAAGAGAAAATGAGGTGCTGTGGCCCTCTCCTGTGCCCTTCAGCTTATAAGCTTTTCTTCCTTATTTCCAGGCCCTGGAACTCACAGGGCTATGGGCATTCTGGAGCCCTTTACCTGTCCTTTCTCAGCTCTCTTGTCACCTTCAGGGGTTTAGTACAGCATGACTTCCTCCAGGTAGCCTGTGGGAGATGGAGTTGTGTAATCTCTGGCTGCTATACTTCACCCTTGACTGTCCCATATAACACTGGCCTTTATTCACTAAGGGAGGTTATAGGACACCTTTTTCATATATAGTGTCATCCCTTACATCCAGTACCACTGTTCTCTCTGCCTTACCTGCCAACTCTGTGGCAGGATGAGACAGTTCCCTCCCAGAACCTTCCAGGATAGGGACAGGTTTTTTAGAGCAGGGGGATAATATAGCCAATCTGTCCCTTGTCTGCCTTGTTAGTAAAAGTGTCTGGATGAAAATCTGGTCATTTTGAAGCATGCCTGAGCCCCAAGAGTCCTCTCATGTTCCTGGATCATCCATCAGCCAGCTTTGCACTGCCACTGGCTTTGAGGTGACTTTAGGTGGTCATGCTCCTAGCCCTAAGCCAGGCCTGGCCTTGCTCTCCCCAAAGAAGCAGCTGCTGGACTGGAAGGCCTTCAGCGAGGAGGAAGCAGAGAACCTGGTGAACCCGACCTTCTTCCAGATGGTGGGGGTGCTGCAGAGGAAGGTGGAGAAGGAGCTGGAGCTTCTGGATGTGCGTGCATGTTTGGTGACACCCTGGAGGTGGAAAGCATTACTCTGGGGTGCTGGACTGGAGCGAAACTGGAGGGTTTCTTTCTGGGCTCCTCCAGCTTGCATGTCCCTCATATGTCCACTCTTTAGCCCTCACCAGCTCCTCCAAGAGCAGGCCTCCTATGTGGCCAATGCTCAAAAACACCAGAGCTACCCAGACTCCAGGAAAAGGAACTCAGTCTCTGAGTGTACCTGAGTTTTCATTGGCCTGGTGCTGAGGACATGGAGGAGCACGAAGCTCAGCCCAAGAGCTTCATAATCCTGAGCCTGAATCAGCCCTCATTATTCTGTGGCCAGAGAATGGCCATCTTCACTGTATTAGCCACCAGGCTTGTCAGTTCCATAGACCAAGACAGTGCAGAAATGAAGGGTGTGGCTATGTTCCAGTAATTTTATTGAGGGAGACTGGAATTATTATTTTCATATGAAAAAGGTCCAAACAAAAACAGGTGGAGCCAGATGCCAATGGCTCATACCGATAACCATAGCTAAATCAGAGGATGGTAGTTTGAAGCCAGCCCAGGCCAAAAAGTCCATGAGACTATGAGACTGTTTATCACTAATAATCACAGGAGTGGAACTGTGGCTCAAATTTTAGCGTGCTACCCTTGAGCAAAAAAAGCTCAGAGACAGTGTTCAGGCCCTAAGTTCAAGACCTAGGACCAGCACGCGTACACACACACACACACACACACACACACACACACACACACATACACACACACACCAGGTGGCCAAATTTAGTCTGAAATCTATAGTTTTACCAGTACCTGACCAAGCATCAGACGGTATGATTTTAAAAAGGTAGGGGGTACATGAAGATTTAACCGCAGGTGGGTTTGGGGCCCTGATGCAATCTCTAGTAAAAAGTGTCCTGATGTTCAGACCAAGATGAGTATAATATGCAGTGCTGTGGAGGGAGGGCCAGAAGCCCAATGTGGGGCTGACTTGGAGGGATGGTGCCCAGGCAGTAACCTCTATCCTAGGGTTGGACCCTCCTGTTGGCCTAGGCTAGTCAGCACTCAAAGCCCCTTTTCTGGGTTACAGAGCTCCTTCGAGACCCTGGCCAAGCAGACGGAGTGGCAGAGCTTTGAAGTTTTCAGGTACTTCAAGGAGGCCACAAAGCTGTGGGAGACACACCAGAGCATGCTGCAGGTGCAAGAGATGGAACTCGAGAAGAGGATAGAGAATCTGCGACAGAAAAATAGGCTGGAGAGCCAGGTGCCCCAGCCCCAGGCAAAGTCCAGGAGGGATGAGGGTGGATAACACTCCGGTTGCAGGCTTCCCAGCCCAGCCCAGCATTCAGGTGTCAACAAACCAAATTCCCCAAATCAATCCCATATCCAAATGTAAATTCTTTTAAGTTATAAAACCTGTACAGATGGAAAACTGAGACTTGCCTTCATCATGGGAGTAGCAGAAATGTTGAGCTAGGTCACAACTGTAGGTTTTTTCTTATTTTTGTTTTTTGCTTTCAGATAAAACAGTACCCTGTAACTCAGGCTACTAGACCAGGAACTGGCTTTATTACTCAGGCTGCCCTCAGCCTTCTAACAAGGCTCACACCACTATACCCAGTCATGTACCTGTGTTTTGAAACCAAACCTGTCTGTGAGTACACATAGAAAGACAAACAGACAGGCAGCACACAGACTAAATGGCAAGTATTCTAGGTGGTTAAAATAAGGAGTTGAACAGATCAGTTTCATTAATCACAGTTTACTACTGTACATAGAGAATGGCTTTTGTTCCTAGTGTTCAAAGGAAAGGAGAGTTGTGTGACCAGCCTCACAGGAAATACAAATGTTTTGACCGGTGAGGTATATTAGCCATGTAAGGGAGTTAAGTTCCCATTGCTCAAGTAGGAAGCAGGCCTCTTTGGGAAGTAAGGACTAATTAAAGACTGAAATGTAACTTTTCAGGAGTGGTTTTTCAAGAGAAACTGGATTGACCCAAACACAGCAGGCAAGGCTCCTCCAAATTATAGGGTGCAGCCTGTGCTGGTGGGAGGCTTCAGTGCTGGTAGCTGGAGCTCCAGCATTGACAGTAATGCCCACCACAGTCTGAACGCTCAGAGAGTTAAGAGAGCCGGTGCCTCAGGAATGTGTAGCACAGGCCTGAACTGTAAAGTATAAGGAGGGCATGAGAGACATGTCCATGAAAAGTTCCAAATGAGCTCTGTTAATAAAATAGACAGGAAAGACTTTTACAGAAACAGAGAAGACCCAGAGCCTGTACTGCAGAGAGGGAGCAATGACAGATTTGGTGTGCATTTCAGGAAGTCCCAGGCCTGCCTCAGTGGCAGGGGCTCTGTATGTTGCTCATACTGTAAGAGATCTAGGAACTCATATCATCTTCTTCTTGTTTTCTGGGTGTGCATCAAGGGCCTGGAAGCCCAACTTGATAAGCTCTTAGATCAACTGAGGCAGCAAAGCCATGAAGAAGCACTGAGAATACACCTGGAAAAGGCCAAACATTTTCTGAAGAACATACAATGCAGGTAGGCTGATCAGACCTCAGCAAGAGATGGTCCGGATTCACATGCAAGGTTACTGGCAGCCTCATCTGTATAAGGTCCCCAGGGTAATCCTAAGTAAGCTTAAGATAAAAACTATCCCTCCAATACTGGAGAATATAATGGTGCTGTGCAACTCTGCTTGAGCTGACACAAAACTTTCCAGGGAGAATTTTGGAAAGTTTGTGGAAAAAATTTCACAGCAATGTGGATTGAAAGGTTAAAAACTTGGGTTCCCATTTTAACTATTTAAACATGTATGCTGTTTGCTAAAGGGGAGAAAACCACTACAAATACAGAGATTTTACCTTTTATTCCTCCCCAGTTAATCCTTTTTATAGATATATGTGTACATACTTGTATATACATACAAATAGCATACAATTTGTTCCAGAACTTACAGATATATTTCAATAAGTAACCATATAAAATTTATAAATATAGATTACATAATTTTTAACCATTTCCCCATTAATTAGCTTTTTTTCAATTGGTTCCACTTTCTTAATACAGTAGTTCTCTGTGAACTTCTTTGTACTTGACTCTGTACAAGTAATTCTGTAAGGATCATTCACAGAAATGGAATTGCTCTACAAATTGATTGCAATACTTAGAACCAGAAGTATAACTTTGGGCAAGTAAGTGACCCCTGAAACCTTGGTCTCCTTGTTGGAGAAGCAAATAAAAATCTTGGGCCTTGAGATATTTGAGGGTTTGATGGGATGATGGAGGTAAAGTTTAGAGACAAGCTTAGAAGGGTAGACAAAGAGGGAATTCAAATTCCAAGCCAAAAAAAAAAATCTTGTGTGCTTTCTGGATTTTTCATAGAGAGCAGGTACTTCTCATATGATCACAAAAACAGTCAAATAAACCTAGGATTGTTTCTTTGAAAGGGACACCCTCCCAGTACCACTTGTTGTCAAAGGGTAGCCTATTTCCTTGGGATCACAGTCAGAGTTCCTTGTTGGATTCTTTTACACTCAGCTGAGCCTTCCTTAAACAGTGGTCTCAACTCCCTCCCTCCCCCCCCCTCTCCAAGATTTGAGAGTTTTCATGTCCTCCTGGCCAAGGAGGTAATGGAGTACCCAGTGATCCTTCTGAAAGAACTCAACAACTACAGCGCCAACCTCAGCCGACATTTCTTCGTTCGTGAAGTCTTTGAACAGGTAGGGAGAGGATGGGATACCTCCAGCTACTCATGAAGCAGCAAAGGGGAGAGGATGGCTTCCCATCTAACGTGTCTCAACTTTTGGAAACCACTCCTGACATTGCTGAGTACAAAATCCATCAAGGAGAAAGAGGCTAAAAAAAAACACCAACTAGCTTTTCTCACTTTGAAAGAGTTAAATGGACTTATGAGAGACTATTCCTGTGATACTTTGGATTCTAGTTATCATACCTACCACTGTCGCCTAATTCTGACTGCTTAAACATTCTCTACTCCAATGTCCCTCACCAAATATGCAACCATAGCAAATCTAGACCACCCTTCTTTCTAGGAGACCACAGAAGCCACATGCACTGTGCTTCTCACTTTGTCTCTGCTTGGCTCAGAAAGCTCATCTCTCTTCCTGTTCATGTCCCCAGTCTGTCTCCATACATCCCCATACCTGCCCACACTCCTGGTCTACTAGCAGAAACAAGAATTATCCTTCCCATTCTACTTGAGCTTTCGTTTTACCTTCCCTGCCACCTCTCTAGTCTCTAAATTTACTTATTCTTGGTTGCTACCAAATATCAGAACACCCTACGCAATTTCAATGGCCTTTAAGCATAAAGTGGCCCATAGAATTCAGACATAGTAAATGCTCTCTGGGTAAGCATATGAATTCTTCCAGTAGGGCTTTTTGCCTACAAATCCATCCTTCCTGACCCTGAACTTGGCCATTTGTTTCCTACACATAAGTACTACACAGCTCCATCCCTGAGAATATGTCCACTCAGAGGGGATCCCAGTTCAATTTGCTAATACATGCTCCCCAGGACACCTGCATTGAGATTAAGAATTAGACTATAGGAATACAGGAGGGCAAGCACCTTGGCTGCCCTCTGAGATCATTCTGGTTGAAAGCTGTGCACAGTGTTGTTATTCCCATTGCACAGAGGGAAGATGTTGTAGCTCATAGAGTTTAAGGGACTTAATGAAGGTCCCTCAACCTATATTTTTCTTCCTCTTTCTCTAAATCACTACCAAGAATGTCTCCAAATTAGTGTTTTTGTTTGTTTTTGTTGTGGTTGTTGGTTGTGAGGCTTGAACTCAGTGTATGGGCACTGTGTTTGAGCTTTTGTGCTCAGGGCTAGTACTTCTACCACTTTGAGCCACAGTGCCATTTCTGGCTATTTCTGTGATTGATTGGATATAAGAGTCTCACAGTCTTTCCTGCCTGAGCTGGCTTTAAACCTCAATCCTCAGACCTCAGCCTCCTGAGTAACTAGGATTACAAGTGTGAGCCACCAGCCACAAATGAACTTTTAATCCATTACTGCCTAGTGGATGCTGTAATGGGGTTACTAGTCTGCTTGGTATTTGGGGAAATTAGTTTCCTGGCATGATAACACTCTGATTGCCCCCAGTGAATGGAGCTGGCCATGGCCCAAATCAGATATTGGAGGGAATGGAGGGGAAAGGAGGGAAGGGTCTTATTTTACTTAAAAGACAAGTGAGAAGGGGCTGGGAAGGTGGCTCAGTGGTAGAGCACTTGCCTTGCATGCTCGAGGCCCTCAGTTCGATTCCTCAGCACCACATAAGCAAAAAGAAAAAAGCCAGAAGTGGGGCTGTGGCTCAAGTGGTAGAGCGCTAGTCTTGAGCTGAAGAGCTGAGGGACAGTGCCCAGGCCCAGAGTTCAGGCCCCACTACCAGACCAAAAGAAAAAAAAAAGACAAGTGAGAAAATCAGTACTGCTCTTTCAGTAACTCATAATTTTTCTTTGTAGAACTTGAATGGAGAAGTCATTTTCACATTCAGGAGACCAGGTAACTCCTTGGCAATTGAAGTCAGAGTCTCTGGCTTTATCACCCTTGGGTATCTGTGTTTAGGGCTCGTTCCAGGCCATCCTGGCCATTGCCTTATTGTGCTTTGATATTGGTCACCAATAGATGAACAGGAAGATAACTTGCTGCAGAAATTAAGCAAAAAGAAGAAAAAACAAAAGGCAAAAATGGATTCGCGCATTGCTGAAGAGATCCTAGGTCGAGAGACAGGTTATGAAAAACCAGCAGAAGTAACCAAAGAAAAAGGTCAAAAGTCCTGGGCAAGGGAAGAGATACTAAACCAGCACTACAAGTCTTCACAGAGTGACCAGGTGGATGAGCCCAGAAAAAGCTCTATGCATGAATTAGAAGAAATGAAGGGTGAAGGAGAGTTCTTTCCAGAATCTGTGAGGATCCAAGAAGAGGAGGAAGAGGAGGAAGAACAAAAGGAAGAGGAAAAGGAGGAGGAAGAGAAGGAAGTAGATGAAGAGAAAGAGGAGGAGGAGGAGGAGGAAGAGAAGGAAGGAGAAGAGAAGGAGGAGGAAGAGAAGGAAGGAGAAGAGAAGGAGGAGGAAGAAGAGAAGAAGGAAGAGGAGGAAGAAAAAAAGGAGAAAGTAAAGGAAGAGGTGAAGGAAACAACTGTAGAGTTCGAGAGTTTATCTGTGGCTGAGGTAAGCCAGTAACTGCTTCATTCTCAAATACCGAGAAAGGTTGCTATGTTCTCACAGTGTAGATCCCTCATACTTAGGGCCTCTGCTTTTTTGTTCAAGGCTAATGCTTTACTACAGCTGCACTTCTGTTTTCTGGTAGTTGGTTAATTGAAGATAACAGTCTCATGGACTTTCCTGTCCCGGATTGGTTTCAAGCCATGATCCTCAGAGCTCAGCCTGCAAAGCTAGGGTTTCTTATAGCTCAATTTCTTTTTTTTTTGGGGGGGGGAGTCCGGTCGTGGGGTCTGAACTCTGGGCCTGGGCGCTGTCCCTCAGCTCTTTAACTCAAGGCTAGCACTCTACCACTTGAGCCACAGCGCCACTTCCAGCTTTTTTTTTCCTTTTTGCTTATGTGATGCTGAGGAATGGAACCCAGGGCCTCAGGCATGCAAGGCAAGTGCTCTACCACTGAGCCACTTTCCCAGCCCCTTTATGGCTCAATTTCTATTGAAGTCCATATAAAGTACTTATTCCTTTTAATTTTTTTGTCAACAGATATCTAATGTGTCCTTTACAACAATAGTTTTTAAATTCACTTTTCTTTCCTCAAATAGCATACTCTGGAGTCACCCCTCATAGACATGACTTTCTGAATTTGTCTCTGTCTGTCTCTCTTTCTCAGGTCCTCTTTCTTGGACAGTCAACTCAGCCTCTCTTGCTTCAGTCTAGCCTGTTCACTTCACTCTTTCTGCTCACTATGTCTGTAACACAAAAGATGAAGACAAAACTCTCCATTGAATGCTTGCTGGCCAATGACTCCTATGATTAGATCTTGTCCTCAAAATACATTCAAAATTCACAAAACCATAGCTTCAAGTCCATAATGGCAGAATGGCAAAAGACTCATTTTCCTCTATCACTGTGAGAGAGTTGGTATATGAAACCTCTTTTTGAACAGGAATTCCAAACTCAGATGTCCACATATATGTTAGAGAAAAGGACTGGAAGCCAAATGAAAAATGACAAATGCTGGCTCAAAACTGGCATGTATTTTGATTTTTTAAAACAAATTGGGTGCTGGATGCCAGTGATCCATGCCTGTAATTCTAACTACTCAGGAGGCTGAGATCTAAGGATTGTGGTTCGAAGCCAGCTCAGACAGAAAAGTCTGTGAGACTCTTTATGTCCAATAAAATACGTAGAAAAAGCCAGAAGAGGCACTATGGCTCAAGTGGTAGAGTGTTAGCCTTGAGCACAAAAGAGATTCAGGGATAGAGCCCAGGCCCTGAGTTTCAAGCCCAAGGACTGGAGGAAGGGGAAAGAGGGAAAGGGAGGTGGGGGGAAGAAAGGGGAATGACAGAAAGGGGGATAGAGGGAGGGAGAAGGGGAGGAGAGAGGGAGAAGGAGAGGGAGGGAGGAAAAATTGGGAACCCAAATCTTTATGAAGAACATCTCAATTTAAAAAGCACTATGGGGCTGATGATATAGCTCAGTGGCAGAGCAGTTGCCTAGCAGGCAAAAGGCCCTGGATTTAATTCCCAGCATCACAAACAAAAATAAAAACTCTGTGTGTGTGTGTGTGTGTAACAGTTATGGGAAATTTGATTCAAAGATTTATAATCTGTGCTACCAAATGATGACATCCTCAAATATATGAGATGATGTTGACTCAAGCCTTGTTACCTTCATAGGCTGAAATCAAGGAAAAGAAACAGGATGAGAAAATCAAGGAAGACTTGCAGTCCTTCACAACCTCCAGTGGGAACACTTATTTTGTCTACGTATCCCTGGAAGAAGAAGAGAAGAAATCCAAGACTCTCCATTCCACCTTCCCAATCACATACTTCAGCACACCTTTCACCACCAAGTTCACAGAGCATGTGATAATTCCATCTGAACTTATTTTAAAAATTAAGAAACAGTAAGTAGAAAACCTTTGTATCCTCATTCTCTTGCTCTGAGTTTTATTCACACGGAGATTCAACCAAACATTAGATTAAGCTGGATAGGTTTAAAAGGTAGTTAACTGAGGGAGAGTAGGGTGAGAAACACAATAAAAAAACTGATATTAAAAAATTACTTGCATACGCAGATACCTTCAGTGGGACTGACCTTACCATCCATCCCAGACTGCTCTGTTGGTGTAGGCATTGTACATAAAAACCCTTTATTGTTCTGCCACATAATCTTTGGTTCTACTTCCTAATAAATCTGTTATTTTAGGGTTTTTTTCTTTATTGAAAGTGCTATAGATACAAAACTAGGAATGAATATTTCATGTATGGTATTTTACATATTCATCGTAGAAAATAGAAAAAGAAAGAAAAGAAAGAAAAATAAAGCTATTCCCCATATTTTTTGTTAGTGTGCTTTTGTTACTGTTTTAAGACAGGGTCTTGCAATGTCACTCAGCTGGTCTGTGTATCCCAGGCAAGTCTAGAACTCCTGGGACATTTAGTGAGAATCTCTCCTCACCCCCTTGACACTGGCTTTTTGCTGCATTGTTTCCTCTGTGTGTCTGTTCCTGCATGACTATCCCACACTTTGTGATTGCTACAGCTTTATGCCATCTTCATATTTGGTTCATTTTTTTGTTTTTTAAGATAAGCGAGCCTCACAATAGAGAAACAGGCAAAAGACATCAATGGATACTGTGCAGGAATAAAAAGTTAAGTAGAATTATACACATGAAAATATGCTTAGTCTTGGTAAAAATGAAAACATTTGACTACACATTCTGATGCTATGGGGAAATGAGAATGCAAGTTGCTCTCTAATGGAAATAGTTTGTCTCTATCTGTGAAACCTACAAGTGTATTTTAACTGATCCATCAGCTCTAGTTCAGGGAATTCATCCTATAGAAATGCCTCTACCCTAGGCATATGTACAAGTTTATTCATCTCAGCCAGTGTGGCCCTGGCAGTGGTCCAAAAAATTGTATGATGGTCTACCTACACAATGAAATAAAATAAGGAGGAAAGTACAAAATATGAAAAGCTCTCTTACTGGTCATCAGTGTGGGCAGGAGACCCTGACTGTTACTTATCTCTCCCCAGACTTCGAGTTGGTTTCTTTGATCACCTTGAGAAATGGTTTGACGAATGTACACTCAGTGTCCGGATCATTGTGGCCACCAAAATTCATGAATTGGATTCTGAGCTAGAGCTGCGTCTGCACCTGCATGAACCAAGATTACAGCATATTGAGCAGGACATCCATAATGTCAGGGCAGGTGTGACTCCGCCTGAGAAAGCCTACCCTGTCTCTAGAAACCCCTTCAGAACCAGCTGTCCTGTGCCCTTAGTTTTGTTAGCTGATTCAGTTTGCTTCACGCAACACTTAACATACGATTACCTCATCTGGAAATGTACTTGAGTGCATGAGATTTTCTACCTCTCTGACTTTCAGAAAGAAAGTACTAAGAATCTGCATTCAAGATTTTAAAAAAATTGAAGGGGTGTTAAGTAGCTGAAATGAAGAGTTCTGTTACAACTCTTGGGTTTCAAAAACACACCTGCATTATGGTTGCTCTGGAGGCAAGCCTCTAGCTCAGAAATCAGAGCTCTCAGGCTCAGCTTCTCTGGCTATGTGACTCAACCCAGTTACCTGACCCCTCTAACTCTTCTGTCACCTACAGAAGGAGTTTAGAGGTGTTATCATGGAATCATGAACACCAGGTACAAGACATGACACCCAAGAGTGGAGGCCATTATTCCTAATCTTTTGCCATACTTAAAAAGACATGTCATTTCTCCTTTAGGTGGTAAGCTCCATTATTGGGAGGGTACAATTTTAGTAAGTTCCTTCCATGACCCACTGGGTTTTTTCTCTGATCATACTCTATACTTCAGCATAGCCCACCTAATGGAGAACCCCTCCAGGTGATCCATCCACACTCTGGTCTGAAGGACTTGAGGATGCGCAAGCAGATACCAGGCTTCCAGTCCCAAGGCTCACAGCCTGGGGTAATTTGACTGACATTTGAAAAATGTCAGTCCTCACCTAGAGAATGTGTTTCTTCAATGCACTGAGGAGTAGCTTCTGGGGAGGGGTAGGGGCTGATGTCCTTTGCTGCTCCAGTTCCCTGGCTTGTACAGCATAGAAATGTAGGCCAGAGAAATGGAGCTGAATTTTGGCAAAGCTGAGGCCACAGCACTCAAGAATCCTTTGGGTGATCTGGGGACTCGCTGCTTCCCCTCAAGGCCTGTGGGTGAGCTCTTGTTCTTCCCTATCCAGCTGGAATTCAGACTGTCTGCATGAGTATCCATAGATGAGGAATAAATCCAGATGCCCAGCTTTACACAAGTTGTTCTCCCCTAGCCCAAGTCCTCTCCACTAGGTTCCCACACACTCCAACACCCTATACCTATACTCCCTTTTCTCAGGTTGCCCCTGGGAGACTCTGTTTCCTTTGTCTTGCTCCCTGTGCAGTAGGCAGATATCTCCCAGGTCAGCAGAGCTTCCTGACCATGGAGAAACCCTGAGTTAGACTTTTATTGACCTCTCTGAGGTCAGAGCTCATTCCTAGCCCTAGCCCTGGTGAGAGCAGCAGGGGCAGGGCAAGGCACCTTGACTCTCTGTAGCTGGCCTGGGAAAGGCAATGGGTGGGCTCTGATCTAGGAAAGGATCTTCCAGAAGACCACAGCTTTGCTCACTCTCTTACAGCCGAACTCTTGCTTCACCAAGAGCAGCTGGACAGCCACTGCATGGGAATCACCGAGACATTAAAGAAGGAGAGGCTGATGTTCTGCCAGTTCCAAGAAGAGCAAACAATGAGGAGCAAGTACTTCCGCCGTAAGATCTATGACATGGAGCATATCTTCTTGAATGCCACCAAGAGCCAAAAGTAAGGGGCTAGGGAGTCTCCCTCCACCAGGCAGATGGCTCTAGAAATCCAGCCAGGCTGCTGCTTGCAAAGGAAAATTGAATCTCTTTTCAAGCATTAGAGAGCCAAACTCTTTGGACAACATCCAGTTTGGAGGGTGAGCAGCCAAGGAGAGAAAAGGGTTCAGACACAGTCAGTGAGGGAGGGTGCAGATGATGTACCCTGAAATGTCCATGGGATTAAAGCCACTTCCCTTCAATTCAAACCAGGAAGGACTTCCTACAGGAGGGTGCATTTGCCATCAACACAGACACCCATTTGGGGACGGAAGAAGGCAGGACAGGTCACGTTTTCCAATGAGAGAAACTTGGAGTGGGGTTTCAGAGTGTGGAATGGGGCCTTGGCAGCCTCCAGGCACGTGGGGACAAGTTGGGTTCAGATGGGCTTTGTTGTGAAGAGGACATCGGTAAGGCTTTCTTTGGGGAAGAGCATGGGGAGGGGGAACCATGTTGATGGGTCAGAGGGAGAATGAGGATCCACCAGGACCTGAGATTCTTGGACCAAATTGGTGCCCCAGGTCATGCTTCTGATCCAGAATGACACATTGTAGCAGACACATTAGCACTTGAAACATCCAGTATTCCTGTGCCACACAGAGAAGCTGGGCAGTGATTCTGGTGGCCCCACAGCAAAGCTCAGGACACCACTCAGTGCTCTCATGTCACTGCTGCATCACCATCTCTCCTGTCCCCACAGGCTGGTCATTCTCACCAACACACTACACCGGGAGCTGCTGAGCCACGTGGATGTTATTCAGGTGTCCCTGCGCAGTTTCCGGCAGTACTTGGAGGAGAGTCTAGGCAAGCTGCGTTACACCAACATTGACTACCTCAAGTGCTGCAGGTAGGCGCAAGCATCCAGGCATCTGCAGGAGGTGGCCTTGGTTTTTCTCTTAACTTTTTGCCGCCCCCACCCCAGTGTTTAAATCTGTTCATTTAGCTTTGAATTTTCACGACTGCAGTTCGATTAGATTGTTTCTCAAAATTGTCAAGCTTCTCTTTTAGTTCTTCAGACATCTGACCCTTTGTTATGTTTATAGTTTATGTTGGGTAATTCTAACGTCTGGGATCTGTGTGTGTGTTGGGGAGTTGTTTCTGTTTTCTGTTGATGTTCTAGTTCTCATTCTCATTATCCTGTTTCCTTGTGATTTTTTTCCCCTCTACTATGAGACATTTATGTTTCTTAGGATTTCATCTTTGGCAGTCTTTGAGGCTTGGGTTGATGAGGGAGTCCTTGCAGAGAGAATTAGAGAGAATTAGTATTTGTTTTTGCTAAACAGCTGGGGCATTACATACACAAGACTAATTAAAATTCTTTGCTTGAAGTTTGTTGAGGTTACTCAGGAGAACAAGAATTCAATTGGAGAATGTGTATGAAGTCTGATTTGTGGCTGAAAATTCTCAGGGGAAAAGAGCTCTTTCCTTCCTTCCTTTCTACATTTCTTTTTATCTTTTTTTTTTTGTCATGGGGCTTGAACTGAGTACTGTCTCTGAGCTTTTTTGTTCAAGGTTAGCAGCTCTACAACTTTGAGCCACAGTTCTACTTCCAATTTTTAGGTGGTTAATTGGAGATGAGTCTCATGGACTTTCCTGCCTGGGCTGGCTTCACACTGTAATCCTCAGATTGCAGTCACTAATGCCTGGCAAGTTCTTTCTTTTTTCCTTCAGCCTCTGATCTAGATAAAGTAGGTTCCTGGTACCTGGTGAGCTTCATTTCTCACTCACTCTGAACTGGAAGTGTCATCTTCATCAGTCAGCTCCTTACTTTCCCCTGTCCATCTACAGTCACTTTGCCTCAGACTCAAAGTCTCCAGGGCAAAGCCTTGGTACCTCCCCACATCCCAAGGGACTCTCTGCTTTCACTTTTTTTTTTCTGAGACTGCTGTTTTTTCTTTCCAGTCCTGGGGCTTGAACTCCTGGGCCTGAGCACTGTCCCTGACCTTTTGTGTACAAGGCTAGCACTCTACCACTTGAGCCACAGCACCATTCTAGCTTTTTCTGAGTAGCTTATTGGAGACAAGAGTCTCATGGACTTTCCTGCCTAGGATGACTTCAAACCACAATCCTTACATCTCAGCCTCCTGAGTAGCTAGGATTTGAGGCATGAGCCACTGGTACCCAGACACAATTCTTTTTTTTTTTTTTAATGTATTTTGCTACAAAGGTGATGTACAGAGAGGTTAGTTACATAAGTCGGGTAATGAGTACATTTCTTTTTGGACAATGTCACCCTTTCCCTAGCTCTTTTCTAGTCCCTCCCCACCCTCCACCTCCAAGTCCTTATGTGACTCCAGAAAACTTCCTATTTTGAGTTTTGCCTGGAATTTATTTGTCACGGTTGGAACTGCCAGCCACTCTGACATGCATGCAAATCCCACCGTTTGTTTCTTATACTGGCACTCCCTGCATTTGTTTTTCTATCTTCTTGCCCTTTGGGTCTAATTCAGTAAGATTTGGGATGGGTAGGAACTTTTCACATCTGATTGGTAGCTTTTATTTTTCCCCAATGATTATCAGGTTGTTTTCTGAAGGAGGTAACTTTTCCCCTGAAGAAATTGAGTCTATGTGTCATCGTCTGGAGAAAGAAGCTTCCCGGATAGAGTTTGTTGAAAGTTTGATCATGATCCACATGGAGAAGATGGAAAATGAGTACCTGGACCAGGTGGGGACTCCAAAGCTACCCTCGAGGTGGTCCCTGAGAGTGTGCATTGCAGGCTGTCACTTCTTAGGGAAGGGCTGTGCTCCTCCTCCAAGCAGTGATTGAACTGGTCCCTTTCATGAGGTCTGACATTTCAGATTTTTATTTCAGCACGGGGGGTTTGAATTCAGCCTTTCATTTGCAAGGCAGATTACTTGTTGAGCTATGCCTCTAGCTTTTTTAGCTTTATTTTTCTGACAAGGTTTCACTTTTTGCTCAAGCTGGCCTGGACTTTGATCCTCCTACTTATGCTTCCTATGCAGCTAGAATGATTGGTGTACACATGGTGTTCAGGTTTTTTTTTTATTAATTGCAATAGAAGTCCCTCAATTTTTTTTTTTTGCTTTTTCCTAAGTCCGAAGTCCTAAACTTTGATCCTCCCTCCTGCTCTCTGCCTGCCTAACTGCCTGCTACTTTACTTTTTAATCTTTCTTCACAGGCCAACGATGTCATCAACAAATTTGAGAGTAAATTCCATAACTTGTCTGTGGACCTTATTTTCATAGAGAAAATCCAGAGGTTGATGACAAATTTGCAAGTAAACATCAAGTGTCAGGTATGACAGAGCCATCTTCCATCTAGCAGATATCTGTCACACACACCTACCTGCATACCAGCAGTGTCCAGTTGCTGGGACACAAACATGCTGTCTGGGACTTGCTTTTCCTTTCAGAACACAAATAAGACCTTGTGTGTGTGTGTGCCAGTCCTGGGGCTGGAACTCAGGGCATGGGGTGCTGTTCCTGGGCTTTTTTTTATTCAAGAGTAGTGCCCTACCACTTGAGCCACAGCTCCATTTCCAGCTTTTTGGTGGTTACCTGGAGGGGAGAATCTGAGACTTTCCTGTTTGGGCTGCCTTCAAACCACAATCCTTAGATCTAAGCCTCCTGAATAGCTGGGATTATAGGCATGAGCCACTGGTGCCCAGCAGACAAATGAAACTCCCACAAGTCACAGATTCATTGCACACCATGTGCCATGCTAACTAAACTACTTTAACTAGCTCTGTTAGTCTTCACAAGAGCTATACCAGGGAAATGTTGTTTTACTCCTATTTTAGAGATAAACTCAGGACTGGATGTGTGACTCGGTGGTAGAATTCAAGCCCCGGTGTGACCAAACAAAAAAATTCCTAGAGATAAACTGAGGCAGAGAGTAACTAATCAGTGACTTAGTGATGGTCACAGACCTCTTCAATGATGGAGCCAGAATGCAAATTCATGTTGGGCAAGCCATCTCTTTCTAGAAGGGGAACAAGTGTGTGGGGTCTGTGGGAGTGTAGAGGGGAAGGTTTAATCTGGGAAAGTGAGGCTTCCCAAGGCTTGAGGGAGAAATAAGAGCCAGGAGAAGTGGGGAGCAGAGTGTCCTGGAGGGATGATGTGAACACCCTGCCCACATAGTGCTAGCACCAACCATATGCAAGGGCTGTATTTTCACCAGCAAGTATCAGCAAAGTGCATTTCCATTATGAAAAATATAGAACTAATACGTGAAGGAAAAATTAGCCACTATTCTACCTCAGAATTGTGATTCCTGTTTAAGATTTATTGTTAATATCTTTTCCTATCCATGAGGAGATGGAAATATATTTGGACTAGCCTCTTTCTATTCCCACAGCTTCGTAAACTCTAGTCTTCTTTTTGCCAGTCCTGGGGCTGAACTCTGGGCCTGGGGTCTGTCCCAGAGCTTCTTTTGCTCAAGCCTAGTGCTCTACCACTTCCAGCTTTTTCTGAGTAATTTTTGGAGATAAGAATCTCACAGTCGGGCTGGGAAGGTAGCTCAGTGGTAGAGCGCTTGCCTTGCATGCTCGAGGCCCTCGGTTCGATTCCTCAGCACCACATAAGCAAAAAGAAAAAAGCCGGAAGTGGCGCTGTGTCTCAAGTGGTAGAGCACTAGCCTTGAGCTGAAGAGCTGAGGGACAGCGCCCAGGCCCAGAGTTCCGGCCCCCCCACCCGACCCCCCCCCCCCCGCCAAAAAAAAGCATCTCACAGACTTTCTGGCCCAGGCTGGCTTCCAACTGTAATCTTTAGATCTTAGTCTCCTGAGTAGTGGGGATTATGGGCGTGGCCACCTGTACTCAGCTTATAAACTCTACCCTTCCAAGATTTTCAAAAGTACCCATTTGAATGGCTTTCCTCTCATACAAGTCCTATGATTTTTGGTTTTTGGTTTTTCTTGTGCCTCCCCATTTCATTTTTTCCATACTTAATCAATATCTCAGCTGTTTTGCTGAACTTCTTTATCATTTTATATTCTAGAAACAAAATCTTGGCTCTTCTGATTTTCTAGGTGGCAAAATCCAATTCACAAACAGATGGATTAAATTCTTCTCTGAAGCAGCTTCAAGACAAGATCGAAATGTGTCGAAACCCCAAGGGAGATAAGACAGTGAGTTCTTCGTTGGTTCTTCTTACAAACTTACACTGAGGTATCTACAGCACAAGCAGGGTGTGGCAGGTGCAGAGGGTTCTGAGCCTTCTTTAACCCATTTTGCTCAATGGAAGGAAAAGAAAAATCAGCCATGGTGTCCTTCCTCAACCAACCCAGGCACACATCTAGAGTTCAGTGAGGTAAGGGCCTGAATCCCCCAGTTCTGAGCATTTCACTCGCTGGTGTATTTGCGCTTGTGTTTGCTTTTCTGCCATGAGCTCATGCTCTACCCCCATGCCATATGTGCCCTTGGCCATGCCAGGAGCTTTCCTTGGTGGCCCACCCAGAGTCTTCCAGAACCAGAGGCCCCTGCCCCCAGGGTCCTAAGCAAGGAATATGCTCCTTCCCTTTTCTACCCTTTTTTGGAGTTGAATTATGATTCCATTGTTATGAGCACCAAGAAAAGTTATCTTTACTGCCTACTCTATAGAGATGCATGAGCACAGAGTGCAGAATGAATGACCTGCTATCCTCAGTCTCTACCAACACTCCCAGCCTGGTCACGTATCTTCATGCACATTTCTTCATATTGGCTGAGTTCACTGATGTGTTTGCCCATAATTTCCCTGTTTTCTCTTATGAGCCCAGCTCGTAGGAGCCAGGGACAAACTGGTTAACCTGCTATGATTCTGTGGGCCCTTTAGGGCAAGCTCTGTCTCTCTAGATTTGAAATGTTTAGTGGCTCCTATTTCCTCCCCTCCAACACACCCTTCAGTTCTCTCTAGTCAGGTCATTGCCAGGTGGGCTTGCTCAGCCTCCTGGCCAACTGGAAGGAGGGTGAGCTTGAGTTTACACAGTTCTATTTTGATGGAGGAGACTGGTTTACTGTCTGTGGAGCAATGGTAAAGAGACAGTGGTGATGCACTCGATATGTAATGAGGGTGCATCCCTGTGCACCTGTGGAGTGTTGGTCCAGGAAGGATGCCTGTTTGGTGTTGCTATGGAGATGCCCAATTGGCCTTCCTAATTCACTCTCTCACACCCTTTCTACCTGGACTACATCTCCTTTGTTTTTTTATTAGCTCATATTAATTGCACAAAAGGATGTCATTATTCTTATATTTTTATGATGTACTTTAAACAAAATCACTCTGTTACTTTATCTTTGCAAAACAATTTTAATGGGTTTTGTTAGTCTAATTTCATACATGAAGTATGTGAGATATATTCATCTCCCTGATATTCTCTTTCTTTGCCCTACTCTTTCCTGCTGCTTGCTGCTTCCAAGTAGTCCTCCTTTAACACCTGTGTCCATCATTTTTTTAAAGACAGATTGTGCCTATCAGAGAAAACATTGGTTATTTGTTGTGCTGAGTCTGGCTTATTTCAATTGTGATCTCCTTTCTATCCGTTTCCTGCCATGACATTAGTATGTCATTGAGGCAGCCCTAGGGAACATCCAGGTCCCCATCTTAGAGATGAGGAGAGTGAGTCAAGCAAGTTTGTCCAGAATTGAACCGATAGAATCAGGAGCTGACCCCTTCCCCAAGCCCTTGTTAGTGAAGGATCTACTTCCACAGGGCAGACACCTGAGAAAGCCAACCAGCGTTTCCCACTCCCCAGGGCCTTTCCAACAAGTGAAGGAACTTTGAGGAACCAGAGTTGTCCTCACTGGACATTCCCCCTTCCCTCGCCCACCCCCGTGCTGTGTTCCTTCATTTCCCGTGAACCTGATAGCTTCCTTGGGGCATCCTTCCTCCATGTTTCCTCCAGGAGGTGACCACAGATGACCTCCTTGGGTTTGTCCGAACTTGGAAAGAAAAACTGAACCAGAGGATTAAGTACCTTAACTGCAGCCTGGATGTGGTGTCTGTGACTCAAGATGTCTTTATGGTAATGAATAGAATGGGCCAGTAGAGAAGGGTGGGTGAGTTGTTGTCTGGGTTCCCAGGTAGGTCACAAGCTGTGGGGTGAGATCTAAGCTGGAATCCCACATTGGGGTTGTCTCTTAGGAGACCCCTTACCTTCTGACATTCCCTCTTCTGACATTCCCTTCTCAACCTCTCTCAGCCTCCTGCTTCTTATCTGCAGTCCACCATTTTGTCCAAACCCCTAGTGCCTTCTGCTTCTGACTGCCACGCCCTCTCACAGGCCCTGTGGCCAAACACCAGGCAAAAAGACTACAAATAACTGTCACTCATCCTTTCTTTCATTCATTATCTCATCAGTTTGATTAAAAACTCCACACAGGCACCTCTGCAACCAAACCTGTGGATCTCACATCAGATCTCTCATCGGATTTCTCAGAGATACTAGAACTTTTCCTTCAAAACACTGCTCCCGATTGTGGCCAAACATTTATTTGTGCATTGAGGTCTATCTCTCCTGCTTAAACCATGTCATGTGGCCTCTCTCTACCTGTGGACACACAGGAAGCATTTCTAAGGGCATGAATGAGTAAAGGACAAATGAACAGCTCTGTGAGGAAAATAGGACCTCTACCATTTTCTAGGAGAGACAAAGAGAGGTTGCAGAAGGCCAGGCAGCTTGCCTCCAGCCACCATTTGGACAAGGTGGCTGTGGAGGATGAGCCAGCTGGCTGCCTCCCCAGGACTTGACCTGGGTCCTACACACTCAACCCTTCTCTGTGGACCACAGGACAACTTCATGAATGATTTGGAGGTAGAGAGTGATATTCTGGTATCCTCAGAGGCCCTCGAGGAAGAGGCCAAGATAGGCCTGGTCAGTCCTGAGTCTTTTGCACAGCCAAGTCGCATGGGGAAGTCCCTGCTTGATGACCCTGCTGTGGAGGTGATCAAGAAGATTCTGCAGTGAGTATCCTATACTGTAATCCATGTACCCGAGTCTTTGGAGGCTGGCTTTGGGGACCTGAACACTGGGTTCCTGGAACCCTATGACCGCAGGCCAGGAGCTTTCCCTCTCAGAGCTTCGGTTCCTCACATGAACTCCTGAGCCCATGTTAACATCTACGTACAATGCTGCTACAAACCTGTCCCAAGTTGTTCCTGTGATCACTGAGGAAAAGCTTATTTTCTTTCCTTTGGTTTCAGAATTCCTAAGATAAAATCAGGGTACCTGTGTGACAAAGACCAGACAACTAGCGGCACCAGGCGGGCCTGTGAGTCTTGGGGTACCTGGTGATAGGGAAGCTGGTGCTAATGGTTGCCCATCCTTATCTGCTGTTCTCCGTTCTTGCCCTGGTACTTGTCACCCAAAGACTCGAAGCGATTTCCTTGCCGGGGAGAAAATGCTATGAAGAAGTCTTTGCATAGTGCCAGTGGCACCTCAGAAGGGAGGTAGGTATGCAAGTCTACACAGGATCTCCGTCTTCTCACACAAAGCCTGTACCTCTAAGGGCCAGAAATGACTCACTCTCCCCGACTGTGACCACAGTATATTCCCCATGTTCACACCTTAGTCTTAGCCAGAACTCATCTTGTAGAGGGAGGCAGCTCTCATATCCCTCCCACTTGAGGAAGTGTCTGGAAATTGGAAGTGTGTCCATGGCTTCTGATATGACAGCACAGGCATAGGAGTCCTGTGCTCTCGCCTCCCCTCCCCATTAAGGGAGGGATCATTATACCTGAAGCTCTGGCCACCAGCTTCCATTCATATATTTTATTGAAGGTAGATTACAGCCACATGGCTGAGCCAGTTTTCTGGATCTTTCATAAACCCTGGGTACATGGCTTGATTTATGATTTTGAGAATAAGAGAAGGAAAAAAAAAGAATAAGAGAATAGGCTTTGCTTTTAACTTTACTCAAAGAAAGTCTCTCTGAACCCTGTGTCATTTGTGATGTAGAGAGAAACAAAGGCCAACAAAGTGAGAAGAGCAAAGACTATAGCAAAGAGATGCTATAGTAAGGAGTTGGCCAATTAAGTGCATTTGATGGATTCAGGGCAGTCAGGGCAGTGGGAAGCCACTTGGCAGTAAGCAGAAAAGACCTCACTCAGCAGGTATGTATGGATGGAGGGTGTGGGTCTGGGAAAACTGGAGGCTAGCCCACTGGAAGCCATTCATGCAGCATGGTTGGTTAAGGTGCATTATCTGACTTTCTCTAGTGGGTACTAGGTTGGAAATGGAGTCAATACTTAAGAGAATTTGGCCCTTTTACAGTAACAGATATTGTTTACTTTCCTGAACTATTACTAGAGATAGAAATCTGTCCTCCACCAACCTGACCCACAGAAGGTTGGTTGGTGCTCCAGGCAACTAGGGGTTGTAGATGATCTCGCCATCATCTGTTTTGATGTTCAGTCTCTCAGAACTTATAAAAGCTTATAAATAAAGCTCATGTCATTAGAGCTGCCAAATAAGAAAGGGTCCAGGGTTTGTTGTTGTTTTTTTTGTAGTTGGTGTGTGTGTACACGTGCACATGCACATCAGTAGGCTTGAACTCAAGTCCTTGTGCTTTAGCCACTCAAGGCAAGCATTCTACCACTTAATCCACAGCTCCAATTTTTGTCTTTTTGCTGGTTAATTGGAAACAAGAGTCTCATGGACCTTCCTGCCCATGCTGGCTTCAAACCACCATCTTTAGATCTCAGTCTTCTGAGTAGCTAAGGTCATATGTGTAAGCCACCAACACCCGACCCAGTTCAATTTTAATTTCAGACCAGTAACAGCTATTTTTTGCATGAGTTTGTTCTAAATATTTCATCAGGCATACTTAACCTTCAAAATTGTTTATTGTGTATGTGAAATTCTTGTTGAACTGGGTGTATCTTATTTTTACTTACCTTGGTTATCTGTGGGTCACTATGATTTTCTTTGGGCTCTTACCATGGCAAGGGAAGATGAAAATGTCTGGGCCTGAGTACCTGTGCTCCTTAACCTCTCCCTGTAGCCTTGGCTGGGCTTTAGCAGTAAAGTCTTCCCTCTAAGGTAAGCGGGTTTTCAGAACCATGGAGAAATGGTGAAGTATCTCCTAGGGCTCACCTCCACAGCTGTATCATAGGAGGCCTGGCAAACCCCCAGGCAGGGCTCCCACAGGTCTGACCCCAAACTGAAGATTACTGATGCACCTTCATCCTACAGCATATCACGGCATTCCAAGCCGAGCAGAATGGACAAAAAGTACCAGGTGCTTGGGGACAGGCACTCTCCTTCAGTTGAGTAAGTGGCCATACCATGCCCATTAACTCCTCCAAACCAGTTCCAGTCAGGAGGCCACCAACACTGAATCCATTGAGGGGCTGTGGAGGCTGATCAGAAGAGGAGGGGTGGAGTGGGAACAGTTAAAGGACAGCCCATTTCATCTATGTGTGGGAAGAGATGTTTTCACCCGAATTGTATTTTTTTCAAGATAAGCATTCCATGGTGGCAGGCAGCAAGATTGCTTTTGAGATGGGGGAGATGTTGGGGAAGGGGGAATAGTTATCAATGTTGCCCCATCCTTTTTTTTCTGTTTTCTTTATCATTTCAGGGATCAACGGGATCAACGGGATCAACGAACTGCTCTATTCAGCACAACTTCATTTCATGCCAGGTTCAGAAGACTCAAAACTGGAGAAAATCAAGCTCCACAGTGAGAATTCGTCCCCTTTGTGGGAGGTTTCCCCCATACCCAGCACTACTTCTTGGCAGGGTCTTAGTTCTGCAGACACACACACACACACACACACACACACACACACACACACACA